GGATTTCCGGCTTTTTTTTAGAGAACCGGCTCCTTTGGCTTGGCTCACTAAAACGAGCCGGCTCTTTCTATTATTAACAACAATATAAAATTATGAACAAAAGGAATTACTAATGTTAAAAAAAAAAAACTGTTTTTTTAAATATATGTTTATATATAAGTATATACGGCGGCTCTAGAGAAGCACGTACAAACTCCAAAAGCACGTACAAATTCCAAAGCACATACAAACTCTAAAGCATGTACAAACTCCAAAACACATATATATTCAAACAATTTTTTTTTTAAAAAATGTTCATTTAGCTGTTACTACCACACACCAAATCCAGTCGTTGGTACTTCCTGGCTTGTGTAGCCACTAGGTAACAAAAGCTCAACACTGTCCCTAAGCATCCTGGAGCACTTCTGTTGTGTTTTGGAGTTTGTACGTGCTTCGGGGTTTGTACGTGTTTTGGAGTTCTTACGTGTTTTGGAGTTTGTACGTGCTTTGTCTCTAGGGGCCACCGTAAATATACTAAGAGCCATTTTGTTCACAACCGACACATCACTATTTGTGACGACTTATTGGAAGGATGTATACAGGAATGCGAGAATGAATCAGAGTAAGCTCGAGATAGACACTGCTTCAGATGCATGAAACTAGGTAAAAGCACCAACCACCAAGATTCAGTATTATTCTGTTCATATATATTATGGACAGTGAGGGATCAGACGCTTTTCTCTGTGTGATTACATGACCTGCCCTGTTTATTAATTGTTATAACAAAATCCACACTTTTTTTTTTTTTTTGCTATATTATGATGTGTATGATATATTTTTATTATACATCTATTATATATTTTTGCATCGCATTTAATACACTGGGCGTTTTTTGCAACTTTTTGTTAAAAACAATGTTAATTTTAGACAAAGAAAAATAGTTTTGTCCATAAAAGTTTGCTATGATGGCAAGTATTGATCATGTTGATAAAATAGACGTCTCAGAAACTCATGTATCAAATATGATATAAAGGGCATTATTGTGTTAAATGCTTAATTATTTGGGCAACTGCCTCCATGTGATTAAGTGACAGAAAAAAATGCTGAGCATGTTTCTCTTTCTGCTATCAACTTGTTCTTTAACTAAAAACTTTGGATCAACATGATTCAGCCTTTTCCTCAGTGGAGTGGGGTTATTAAAATAGGCTGTTTTCAGCTATTTTTAAAGCTAAATTTTAGTTAGTGAAACTTTAGTTACTGTGG